ACAATTTGCATATTTCAAACCCGACTCTCCGAGGCTGACACTTTCATCAAAGGAGAAACGTCATCTTCTCTTCAAGAAACCTGTGAGAATTTCGTTTGATTTTTTTTTTTCTTTTCCTTTTCATCTTCTTTACTCATTTATTTTCATCAATCTTCACTCATGACTCACACCAACTCCCTGGCGCAACCTGGATATTTTTTCTTTTTTTTTTTTAAATGGTATTCTAGATCGACACAGCCGGATCACTTGACGTCACAACCTCAGAACGCTACCACGTGACACTAAACGCAAGCGCGACGCCGCCAAAGTGCTTCTCTAAGTTCGAAAAGAAAAGCCACTTGCGACGAATGATCATATTCAATATTCAGTTTAGTTCCTCTTGTGATTTTTTTTTTTTTTTTTTGTTAACAAAATATATATAATACTCAGACATTCACCACTCTCTGGGCCCCCCACGTCTGGCTCAGCGGCCAAGGAGGGCTAAAATCAGGGTTTTTTTTTTATAAGAGAAGCAGGGAAGGGTTCGAGACATTATACGCTGCTACAGGTTGGGTGTCTAGAACATCTCCCAGACTATGTTGACTAACAATCAACTGCGCGACATTACAAGAACACGGGCTAGGCCTATGAGAACACGGGCTTTTTCCTAGGCCTATTACAACACTGGCTGGACCTAGGTTTACAGCTCTATCACACTTTTTTTATATTAACTTAACTCTGTTGGCTTTTTAATTATTATTGGGGCTATAAATGAAGGGCGCTCACTCAATCTCAACAATCTTCCTATTAAATAAACTCTTAAAAAGTACTAATCTATCGTCAGAAAATATAAAACAGATCAAACTATATACACGTGAATCATAATCATATAGAATTATGTAGCCTTTGTCGTCTACATGGTTTATATATAACTGACCGTATGCATGCCTTATGTAGTAAGCAGATTCAGCGTATGACATTCTCTCTCTCTCTCTCTCTCTCTTGCTTTCTTTCTCTCTCTCTCTCTTTCTCCGCTTTCGCTCAATTCAGTGTAGACAAACTCAGCACCTTTGTTAAAATATATATATGTATATATTTGCTCTTCTGTGGTATCTCCTGGGTATGGGCCCCAGAGTCGTCTCACAGATCACGTGACACGACAGACACAAGGGGCTAAATAGGTACGAAAGGTTGGGAGAAAGAGCGAGGGTAATAAACGGGGTAAGGAGGGAAAATGCGGAGAAGAAAAAAATATATAGGTTTAATGAGCAAATTGGGCATAATCATTCTTTTTTTCTTCTTCTTCTTTCTCTTTCTCCCTTTCTTTCTTTCCTCTCTCTCTCTCTCTCTCTCTTTCCCTTGACTTTCGCCTTTCATCCGTTTCCATTTCTTTACTTTGGTTGAGCATTTCAAAATAATGGGATATGGTATTGCCAAGTACGATTAAATGTTTAGCTTTCTCTCTTCTCTCTCTCTCTCTCTGTCTCTTTCACCACCATGCATACTGGCACTCATACAAACGCTAATACGAGGTCATGTTTCTAACTACCTGATGTGACGTATCTTGCAGACTCTCTGACGTCATCTTTACGTAGCGAGTGACGTCATTGTGTTGTGTTTGTGCGTTCTTTAGGCGTCTTCTCTCTCTCTCTCTCTCTTTCTCGTTCTTTTCCCTTTTCTTTCGTGTCGTACGTGTTGTTAATGTACGTCTACTTTCACATTTATCATTCTCCGAGCAGTTCAAGACAACGTGAATTGCAGAGAAAGATAATACATTCAAAAATACACTCATTTTTTTTTCTCTGACTCTCACTCCTACTTAGAGGTTTGACGTCACTAATCTGCAAGGTCTGACGTCATTTCTAGGACTGGTGTATTGCGTTTAAGATGTGAATATAACAAGTGAAAACCATGATGATTACAGTGTGGTTTTACGGGAGAACAAAAAAGACATCAAAATTGAATTAAAAATGATATAAAAAAAACATATAATGAGTTGAAAAGTAAGAGATAAAGGCTAGGAATAATTATAAAGTTATGACTCTAATCATGATCTTAATAATATCAATGATCACACTAATAATGATGATAATCATAACAATAATAATGCTATACTGATAATAGTAGTAGCAATAATAACAACAAAAATAATAATAATAATAATAATAATAATAATAATAATAAAATAATAATAATAATAATAATAATAAATAATAATAATAGTAATAGTAAACATTAATAATAATAATCATAGATAGCAACGATAAAAATAGGGACAATGATAACAAATGACTCAAAACCAGACAATAGCGCACCGATATCTAAAACACAACACACCAGCGGTATAAAGTACACTATACTAAAACAAACACACGTTCATCTACTGATGTGGTCCCTTATTTAATTGTTGGAGGGCCACCTTTGTATCTCCACCAGTCACCAACTGCCTGAAACCCGCTTCCCCCAACAGCCCTCCCTCACGCCCAACTTCCCCCCTTCCCCAACACCCTACGTTGAGGATGGGTGGGGTAGGGGGTGGAGGTAGGGGGAGGGCCGAAGAGGGGGGGAAAGGGGTTGTTACCTCTTCTTCTTATCTTCAGATTTTCTTGTATGTAAACCTGTTTTTCTTGCCTTGTTTATTCCCAGAAATGACCTTCTTCATCTGACTGGTTTCAGACCTACTCGACGATGGATGAAAAGTACCTCTTCATTTTTTCTTTTTCAAACGATCTTTCATTTTTAAAAAATCTATTCATCTTTTAAAAGTTTTCCGATGTTCTAGCCCAGGTGAAGGGGATCTCTGCCCGTATGCGTCTGTATGTCTGTATGTCTGTATGTCTGTATGTATGTGTATATGCGTATATGCATTATGCATATTTGTTTATTTATTGTACGGTATGGATAATATGTATATATGTATGTGGTATAGCATATATAAATGTATGCATTAAATAATAATATGCATGTATGTGTATAAATATATATGCGATGTATGTATAAATATATATGCATGTATGTGCTATAAATATATATGCATGTATGTGTGATAAAATATATATGCATGATATGTTAACTAATATATATATGCATGTATGTGTTAATACATATAATCACTGACTGTATGCTATGTTAAGTGTATAATATAAATGCAGATGCGTATGTGTATAAATATATATGCATGTATATGTGGATAAATTTATATACATGCATGTATGTGTACTAAATATGATATGCCTTGTATGTGTATAAATATTATATAGCATGTCATGTTTGTAATAAATATATATGCATGTATGTGTGTATAAATATATATATCATGTAATGTAATAAATATATGCATGTATGTGTAATATATATATATGGCATGTATGTGCTTTTATATATCATGTATGTGTAATAAAATATATGCCATGTATGTGTATAAATATATATGCATGTAGCTGTGTGTAATAACATTTATTATGCCGATGATGTGTATAAAAATATATCAACTATCTATTCTATATCCATTTGTGTATAATATATATATGCATGTATGTGTATAAATATATATGCATGTATGTGTATTAAGTATATATGCATGTATGTGTATAAATTATACATGTATGTATGTATAGAATATAAATGTGTATTATACGTGGTACATGCCAGTGTTACAATTAACGCATGTCTGAACGCACGCGTATGCGCCCCCTGAATTTCCCCTCCAACTGTGGCCTCTCCACGTGTATCATCTCCACAGCCTAGGTCATCACCGACGCCTTTGGGAGGATCTACGCAGCCCCGAGTACCTGGCACCGCTGCCCAATGACCCGGCTCTCTCACAACCCACGCCCATAATAAAACCAACTCCCAGAGCAAACTAGCAATGAAGCCACGCCCATCTCCTATTTTTTGTTTCCCAATGTACTTCAAGAATGAATAAATGAATCATGAACCCATGAATACTGAAAACCCCGCCTGTCACCTCTCTCAGTCGTCTCGCTCTCTCTCTCTCTCTCATCTCTCCTCTTCTCCCTCTCTTCTCTTCTCTACTCTCTTCTCTCTCTCCAATCGCGTCTTCAATCCTTCCCTGCACTCGCTCTTCTCGCCATTTCTCTCTCCTAACGAGCCGGGAAACCTCGCCTGCGCTCTGGTCTGGTCGACGCGTCGCCATGCCTACAGGTACTGACGGGCAGATAGTGTCTTCCGCCTTACTGAGGTGAGCTTCTATGAAGTATAAACGGGTAATTCTTGGGTTCTTTGAACGCAGGCTGAGAAAAGGAAAGAACAATCATAACCGATGCGTGTAGAAACAGAATAGAACTGAATGGGGAAAATCCTATTCTTTTTTTTTTTGCGCATCTCTAAACCCTGGTCCTGATAGAGGGTTTCGGATTATGGGTAAAGTAAGAGTCTTAATTTAGATTTTCGGGGAAATCACATGCAAATTCGCCTGATCTTGATGAGTAATATTACTGAGTAGATCACAAACTAAAACACTGCATGAGGACGCGTATATAGGTAAATATACACTCCACTCTTGCTCCCTCTCTCGGAAGGTTAAGAAACAGTCCAGTGCTTTCTTAAAATAATGAGGAAAATAATAATGAAAAAACATCCTCGGTTTCAACAGAACAATTAACACACACCCTCTTTTACTGATCATCGGACACATTTTTGACATCCCTCTCGAAACCCTGTAAAACAATCGCCAAGAGAAGGGGATCCTTGGGTCACCGAGAGGCGGGTCTTGCACCGCGCTCTCTCCCTCGACATCTACCACAATCACTAACTACCATCCCACTCGCTACGACCCGAGACCTGGCCACGGCGACCGACACTTACACCGACGTGAGTCTACACTGAAGAGTCTCTCTGGAGGCCCCACGCGGAGGTGAGGCCTTCGGGGGCTTGCTCGTGGCCAAGCGCCGGGTGGTGGACCATGAAGCCTGGGTCAAGATCGCAAAAAAAAGGTACAAAAAGGGAAAAGAAAAGTTCACACACAACGCCACAATGAGTCGCTGCCGCACGCTCGCTGAGAGGCGGGAGGCCTCCGAAGGCCCGAAGCCCGGCCCGCGGAAGCCCTCCGGCATCGGACGCAGCCCCCGCGCGACGTGGATGCTCCTTGCGGACGCGGCCGCGCTACATGTTTGATAAAAAGCATTATCTTTGGTACATCATGACACCGAAACATCATCGGGACATTGTTTAGTCTGTTTAAAGTTTATTACATGTCAACTTCTACTGCAGTTTGCAGACGAGAACACTGCTAAGGATACACTGTACATCCACACTAACCGACGGACACTGTACACCATGACATGTACACTACTCAACTACTATCACTCTACACTCTTAATACACATTACTGATGAGCAGGAATCACTTGATGGTGTGTTTTTTGAGGGGGAACTTCCCCGTTTCACTATTATCATTTATTCGTTTCTTCCTTTACACATAAAATTAACACTTGCGTTGCCTGGACAATCTCATTTTTCCATGTGATTCCAACACAGCCTTTATCACGGAGCTTGTGAAGATCGTCCTGCTTCAGAACCACGCATAAAGCTTCCTTTTTTTCTATCACACAGCACACACACATCAAGGTCATCGTAACAGCACTAGCCCACGTGACATCAACAATGACGTCATGACGGCAATCGCCAATGAGAGCGGGGAGCTTCCCAAGGGGGCGGGGCTTCCGTTGGTGGGTGAGACGTCGTGGCATCCGCCTGGGGGAGAGAAGGGCGGGGTTAGGGGCGGGCTAGACGGCACGGCATGACAGGGTGAAAGGAAATGTAACTAAATGATCTATATACAGGCAACGCTGTAAATGCATTCATAAGTACATAAATATATAAGTAACTACATACATAGAATACGTATATATCTGTATATATATATTATATATATATATATATTATATATATTATATATTATAATTGTTGTGTGTGTGTGTGTGTGTGTTGTGTGTGTGTGTGTGTGTGTGTGTGTGTTGTTGTGTGTTGTGTGTGTGTGTGTGTTGGTGTGTGTGTGTGTGTGTGTGTGTGTGTGTGCATGTGGCATGTGCGTGTGCATTAGGCCAGGGGCCCCGAGGCGCCGGACCCCGAAGCCGCCCCCGAAGGCCAGGCAGAGGCTCCAAGGACACTGACGCAAAGTTCATTAACTGATTTCTTTGCATCAAACACGGAACATGGAAATTATATCAGAGGAAAGGAGGACGAAGAAGAGAGTACAAAGGGCGAATGGAGTGGAAAGGAAAACATAAAGGAGATGTACGAATCGTTGAATAAAGAAGAGTAAGAAAGAAGGAAAGAAAGAAAAAAGAATAATCTTTACTTAACGGGAAGGAAGAAAAAAAATCACCATCATAAGAAAAAAGAAAGAAAGAGAGAGAAAGAAAGATGAAGAAGAGAAAGACACAAAATAAATAAATAAAGAAAAAACATTAAAAGAAAGACACACAAGATGAATTAGACAAATAGATTCCACAAAATATGCAATGTGCTTCCTCCTGGCCTCCTGGTGGGGCTCCGGCAGGGACACTGACCGTCGTTTGTGGTGTTGAACGCGATGTGTCCGTGGAGGCCGGGCGTCAGGTCCCGGCTGCAGGAGTGGGTGGAGGAGGCGAGGGAGAGGACGCCCACGCCGTGATCTAGCACCAGACACAGCCGCCTCACGCCCTTGCTGCTCCGGGAGGTGGGCGTCACGACGACGTACTCGCGACCCGCCTCCGCCCACGACCCGTGGCAGGAATACACTGCGGGGAAGAAGAAGGCGTCAGCGCTGACCTCGGGCTCTGCGGGCGGGGCAGGGCGGAGGGAGAGGGAAGTGGGCGGGGAGGGAGGAGAGAGTGCACACGCACGCACGCACACACGCACGCACGCACGCACGCACACCCACCCACCCACCCACACACACACACAAGCACACACACACACACACACACACACTCACTCACTCACACACACAGCCACCCACACACACACTCACACACTCACACACACAGCCACCCACACACACACACACACACACACTCACTCACACACACACTGACATATACATATATACAATACAATTCTAATACAAAGAAGAGAAGAGGGAAACCATAGCAGTGTATTTATTGTTGCCTAATGTAATAAAAAGAGAAAAAAAATCGTTTGTCTTCTTTCATGACACGTATGACAATCCAAAGAATTTAATAAAAATAAATATATATACGCAAAGCAAGACACACACACACACAGCGACGCGAAGCCAAGATAGACAGACAGACTCACACACACACACAACACACACACACACACACACACACCACACACACACACACACACACACACACACACACACACACACACACACACACACACACCTTTCCCACCCCATCCCACCACCGTTCTCATAATCATTTTTTTTTTTTTTTTTTTTTTTTAGCCAGGGTTGAAGTTGATTACAAAGCTGGTACATGTATCCAGTGCATGATTCGGTGGCGCACCAGCTGTTTTATCCTTGGGAGGGCCACGGAACAAGGACGCTAAGTGCCTCGAGACTCAAGTGGCACTCGAAGCTGGCACTCCATTAACAGAGACGATGGCGACATTGGTAGATCTGGACAGCATTGCAGATTTTAGTTTGTCATATTTTTTATTCTTTTTTTTTCGCTATTTTCTTATATATCATTGGTTCTTCTATCCCCTTCTTATTTTCGTCAAGTTCAGCGCTTCCATTTTTAGCCGTTTTATCATTATCATCATCATCATCATCCTTATCACTATCTCTATCATTCGTTAACATACCATCCTAACAAATATCCAAATTTATCACCAACGTCATCATACTCTAACTCTATATCATAATGACCAACGCTTCAATATAATGGGAAATGCATGTTTTCAAATCCAAAACATTTCAGCTGGAAATGCGCATCCATAATGACATAATAATGATGGGAAAAAAAAATGGAAGCAAATGAGTCGACTTCTCTGTCCTCTGTGTCCGTGGGAAAACACGCAGCAGTTTCGAGTCACGTTGGGTCGCAAAATATTTGTTTTATATAACATGTTTTATACTGCCCCTTCCCCTCTCTCTCTTCTCTTCCCCCCTTCGTCCTTCTCCGATCTGCTGCTCCCTTCCCTCTCTCTCCTATCTCCTGCCCTCTTTCCTTTTTCCGATCTGCTGCTCTCTTCCCCCTCTCTCCTATCTCCTGCTCTCTTCCCCCTTCCTATCTCCTGTCCCTTTCCCTTCCTTCTATCTCCTGCTCCCTTCCCCTCCTCCTATCTCCTGCTCCCTTCCCCCTCTCTCCTATCTCCTGCCCCTTCCCCTCTTCCGATCTCCTGCTCCCTCCCTCTCTCTCCTATCTCCTGCCCCTTCCCCTCTCTCCTATTTCCTGCTCCCTTCCTCCTCTCTCCTATCTCCTGCCCCCTCCCCCTCTCTCCTATCTCCTGTCCCTTCCCCTCTTCCAATCTCCTGCTCCCTTCCCTCTCTCTCCTATCTCCTGCCCCTTTCCCTCCTTCTATCTCCTGCCTCTTCCCTTCCTCCTATCTCCTGCCCTATTCCCCTCCTTCTATCTCCTACCCCCTTCCCCTCCTTCCCTCGCCCCAGTAATAAATAGATTGACAAAATAATGCTTTTGACCGTTCCCAAACCCTTCCCATCCTTTCCTCCCACCCCCCCCTCCCCTCCCGATCTCCCACCATCACCTTCCCTCTCCGCCCCCTCCATCACCCTCCCCTCCCCCCCCCCATCCTTCCCCTACCATCACCCTCCTCCTCCTCCTACCAACCCCCCACCATCACCTTCCCCTTACCCCTCCCCCTCCTCCTCCTCCCCCTCCTCCTCCTCCCAACCCCCACATCAGCCTCCTCGTCCTCCTACCAACCCCCACCATCACCTTCCCCCTCCCCCTCCTCCTCCTACCAACCCCCCCATCACCTCCCCTCCCCCTCCCAACCCCCACCATCACCTTCCCTCTCCTCCTCCCTCCTCCTCCTCCTCCTCCCCCCTCCTCCTCAACCCCCCACCATCAGCCTCCCCCTCCCCCTCCCAACCCCCCACCATCACCCCCCCCTCCCCCTCCTCCTCCTCCTCCCAAACACCCCACCATCACCTTCCCCCTCCACCGCCCCCTTCCCCCCCCCACCTCCGCGACCCAGCTGCTCTCGCCAAACAACACAAGCTGCATCATAATCACGCAACACAACAGACGATGGAAAACAACCACGTCATCTCCGCAGCTGTGACATGAGTTCATTAGTGTGATGAAATGTATGGTTTTGCGTAATCAGGAGGGTGGGGGGAGGGGAGGGGGGAGGCAAGGACCTGGTCGTACTGGTTGCTTGCTTGGTTGTCGTGTTGTATGTTTGGTTATGTGTGTGTGTGTGTATGGTTGCGTGTGTGTTGTGTGTGTGTGTTATGTTGCGTTGTTTTTTTATGTGTGGTGGGTGTTGTGTGTTTTTGTTCTTCCTACATGTGTGTGTGTGTGTGTGTTGTGTGTGTTGTGTGTGTGTGTGTGTGTGTGTGTGTGTGTGTGTGTGTGTGTGTGTGTGTGTGTGTGTTGTGTGTGTGTGTGTGTGTGGTTGTGTGTGTGCTGTGTGGTGTGTTGTGTGTGGTTGTGTGTGTGTTGTGTGTGTGTGTTGTGTGTGTGGTGTGTGGTGTGTTTTGTGTGTGTGTGGTGTGGTTGTGTGTATGTGTGTGTTCGTGTGTGTGTGTGTGTGGTGTGCGTGTGCGTGTGTGTGGTGGCGAATGTGTGTGTGTTGTTGTGTGTGTTTGTGATGTCAGTGTGTGTGTGTGTGTGATGTGTCGTGTGTGTGTGTGTGTGGTGTGTGTGTGTGTGTGTGTGTGTGTGTGTGTGTGTGTGTGTGTGTGTGTGTGTGTGTGTGTGTGTGTGTGTGTGTGTGTGTGTGTGTGTGTGTGTGTGGTGTTCCTTGCTTCTTTGGCGGGTGTTATCAGACGAATAAACAAACTTTACCGATAAAAAAGTACGGTCAACACTACCCCTTTTCATCGCCCGAATTGCACGATGAATACCTGTATCCATTACGTCTGTACACCCAACCACACCTAGACACACCCAAACACACACACACACACACACACACACACACACACACACACACACACACACACACACACACACACACACACACACACACACACACACACCATACAGAAAATCTACGGTCATGTCCACCCACGTTTCACTACCTGTGCCAAGCGTCGAAAATCATGCTCATTCTTACACACAGATACACACATGCCCGCACTTATGCAGACATGATATAAGCTGTGAATTTCATAAGGGAATTAAAATACGATTGCAAATTTAAAAGGCAGTAGCCATAAAAGAAGAAAACGAAGAGGGAATTAAGAATAATGATGAAAGAACAATTAAAAATGAATGGAGACAGAGCCTGTCACACAAAAATATCTAAGGAATAATTAATCAAGCAGTAAAACAACTACATATATTAGAGAGAATGAAGAAAATTAAAACAAGTAGAAGAGAAAGATACTTTAAACGTAAGTAAATATAGAAGAAAAAGACAATTAGTCGATTAGAAAACAAATAAAACGACAGCGATTATAGAACGAGAAAATAAAAAATAACAACTAGAAAACCACGGAAACAGACGAGGAGACACAAGAAAAAAGACCGGCGAGACGGACGGGCGCGGCGCAGCGAGGGCGACCTTCCCGGTCGCACGTGGTCTGTATCTCGAGCGTGTCGAGGTTGGAGCAGCCGAAGCTGAGGGACTTGTAGGAGGCCTCGGCGCAGCGCGAGTTCTGGTCGCCCATGTTGAGGTCGGTGAGCGCCACGCCGCCGCCGTCGCCGCCGCCGCCGCCACCGCCCACGCCGCTCTCGCCGCTGGCCAGCGAGGTCGAGGCCGCCACGTTCAGGTTCTCCTTGTTGTCGCTGTCGCCGTTGTTGCCGCTCGTCACCTTGTAGCGGCCGGTGCTCGGGCACTCGATGGTGCCCGCGTTGCCGCCTGGGGGGGGGGGGGGGGTTATTTAAGGGGCGCTAAGTAGGTATGTGCGTGTGTGTGTGTGTGTTTATATACGTATGTGTATGTGTGTAATGATTACTACTAATATATATACATATAATATATATATATATATATATATATTATATATATATATATATATATATATATATATATATATATATATACATATATATATATATATATATATATATATATATATATATATATATATATATATATATATATATATATATCATATGTATATATATATATAATATATATATATATATATATATATATATATATATATATACACACACATACATAAATGGAATCCCACAGCATAATTGCTAAATAATGAGCTGGTCATCGGGTTTTCATCTGAACCCTAATGAACGGCGTCGCATTCACGAGAGTTGAACCAATACATTACGATAAAGTCAGAGTTCAGGGTCCATTGTGATCACCACATCTGCATATTTTAATTAGGCAAATATTTATCAAAACCCACTGATACTGTATCCACGGGCGCCGCCG